CAACTACTCACCACTTTTTTCCCGTACGACATATTTCTAAATGTAGAAAGTTGAGCCTGAAATATTTATATATCTACATTAAAGAAATGTCACTCTTGATTAATTATATTTTATATTTATAATGAAAAGAATTTTCATATATCAATAATAAAATAAAAATTTCAAATCTTCAATTCAATTAATTGACTTGAAGATTTGATTGATCGATTATGTCAATAAAATAATTCAATCAATCATGTTAGGAATCACAAATTTATTTATCATTCCCTGCCAATATATGTTGGAGGTATTGGCAATTTGAAAATAAAATAAATTTTTAATAATAGTAACCATTTATTACTGATGATTATTCATAAATTAAGAACTGTTTATGTAAAATTAGGTAAATTATGTATGTTCAGCCTTAACAGCTTAAAATACACTGTTTTATTGATTTTATCCTAATAGGCCATTTATTCTCTTATTAATATTTAAATACTGTTTTGTACAGATCATTCCATGAATGCTGGCTGGAAGCTGACTGCATCATAGCAACTTGGTCAAGATTCATGAAATAGCTTTTAAGATATAGAATAGTAATATCAGACTCAAAATAATCAGTGAATATTTCAATTATTCCTTTCAGGAATTATGTGTTTATATATATAATTCTTCATTCATTACTCAAATTCCATTAATTAATTGAAAAATAGTCTTTACATTTACAATCATATATCATCAAATTAAATAAACCAAATAAGTTTAGTCAATTCAACTCACATAAAACTTATTGAATTTGCAGCTGGAATTAATGTATATCATAGAAAATAAGCTCTGTGTTTATTTCTGTTTCTTATCGCTAATATTTTGATTTTTGAAACTGTTCAAAAATACAAATTGTTTGCTAAGAATTGCCAATGAACTAATTCAGTGATTGAGAAATAATCCAAAAGGCAACATAACAACATCTTGATCAAGTGCAATTCTGAGAAAGAGGTCATATCAAAATAGTATTTGAGATGTTATAATGTAATATTGGATCAGAACTTAAAGATTTTTATTTAAAAGATTTTTTAAAATAAAAAATGATGTGAAGGTCTCAAATTTTTAAATACTTTGAAAATACTTTCTTTGTACTTTTAATTTAGTACTTTGTAACATTTCAAAGAAAATCATGTGCACTGATAATTCTACATTTTTAAATTTTTATCTACCTTTTCTGCCCTGTGAACACACGAGTTTTTTACCCATCAGCAATTTGGCCAGCACATAATAAAGGCAACCAGATGGTGAAGAAAGGATTCCAATAAAATTCCATGGTAGACCATTCCCAAAAAATTCTTGAAGTTGCATGCCTACATTCAATCTGAATGGTAAGACAGTGCTTTAATGAAATCATTACAATGCCGGGCTGTAATTTTTAATCATATTTTTAAAATCATTTAAAATATATGCTCTCCACCTCAAATTAATAGTGTCTTCCCCCATAAAACATATTTTTTCCTTTAATAATATAGTCATGCTAGTCATCTATATAACGTTAACCTTCAGGGAAAAATTTTTGAAATTAAATAACATTACTTCCAGTTTGCATTAGAAGTTTATATATAATTAATCAGGACCTTCTGCCCATAAGGTTTCCATATCTGGTCTCATATTTCGTCTATCTAACTCTGTTCTCAAGAGTAAGGAAAGACAGATGAACACATGACAGTGGAAATTTATAGGCCTACAATTTTTTCAAATTGCAGCCCAACCACTTCAGCCATATGGCTTTTTAGGCAAATTTGTTTTTGCCTAATAGTTTTGCAGAATCTGAGATCTTTACTAAAATGTTCAGCATATCTTCAATTTACTCCTAAAAACTGAAAAAAACTATAAAAAGTTCAATTTTTTTTAATAACAATTTTAATTTAACAAAATATCACCAGTTATTATTCAAAATCTATACTGTTAAAAAAAAAGTCAAATTAAAATTTATCTCCAAAATATTTATTTCTTAAATACCTCTGTAACAACTGCAAAGTCAAAAAACTTTACAGTTTTATAAACCTTCACAAAAGAATTTGAATTTTAAAAATATCCTTTGCTATCTTAAACCCACAAAAATAAATACATATTAATTTGAAACACTAGAGAACAAATTGAACACTTTAGACTTATCATTAAGTTAGAAAAATTAAATAAATAAATAAATAAAGCACATTAAAATAAATTGAGAGGAAGAAAAATATAATATATGAAAGAATAAATTATTCTAACTGGATATACATTTGTTTTTAATCTTCTAAAGATTAGGAAAAATTACTTATCTAATTAAAACAATTTTTCATGATTTGTATTAATTTCTCTTTAAATACAAATACATACAACCTTTCCAAACTGAGCAAAATTTCACTAATTCCTATAATGTTTCTTTATAATTTAAAACATTTAATCCTGTAGAACAGTCTGCTGGTGATCATTGAAGATGACTGGAAAAATTATTTGGTGTCTATTAAAGGAAAATTTTAGAAAAGTTGTAGTGTGTATCTGTATTTAAATATTAGAGCAATTCATTTACATGCTGTAATTTCTCTTTAAATCTAATTTTTGAAATTTTTGAATTAGATGATATTTGTAACAGTTAAAATGGTTTGTATTTAAGTCAATATGCATCATTTTATATTTAAAATTTAAATAAATATTGAACAGTTGAACACACTCATTTTTTTTTTTATAGTTGTTGACAAATTTATCAAAAATATCTTCATTACTTAATGATGAGAAATAATAACTGCATGTTAATAATTCAAAATATATTTTATTTTTAATTCTTTTAATCTAAAAAGGTATCAACATACAGTACAGTATATTAAACATTTTAAAACTGATTTAGTAGTAGTAACAAAAAACTTTTGTTTTATTGAGTCTTGCTTACATCTCAATAGTTTTTCTAGTACTTTTGGATAACCAATCCCAACATGAGGAGGCACAAAAGTTAACTAGCTAGATAACTAAGCCATCTAAATCTCTGTTATTCTCTTAGAATGCAACCAAAGAACTGGAAAGTTTGAGTTTCTTATGCAATAAATTTAACTGTTTTGTTTCCAGTCTTTCCAACACCAATATAATTTAATAGATTACAAAACAATTTGGCATTCCAGAAGAGAATAACAATGATCTCTTTTATTTTTATTTAATGCCAACAACTTGAAAAAATGAAAATATACAAAATAAAAAAACCTTTGCAAAGAAAGGTTTTTATCTTTTTTTTTGAATGTTTTAACATAATTTCAAGATATTTTGAACCAGCTTTATTTTTTTAAACAAAAGATGTTGCTGCCAAAGAAACATTTGGATCTATTCCTCATCTACATGTGAATGTACAATTTACATTTTATTACATTGAATGGTAAGCCAATGCTTTAACCATTTCAGCCATATGGTTTTTTTAGGCAAATTTGTTTTTCCCTAATAGTTTTGTATAATCTAAGAGATCTTTACTAAAATGTTCAGAATAATATTTTCAATTTACTCCTGTTAATCCAAATCTACATATGGAAAATTTGAAATATCTATAATAAATTTGAGGCAACATTTCATTATTGTGATTAATAATGAATTAAGGCAATAATAAATGTTGTTCAATAACAACATGCTGAGAATGAAGACTTAAGAATGCAATTACATCTCTAAATGAGATGGTTAGGATATTATCACAGTTGTAGACCATATCCATAAGAATAAAAAAGTCAAAAGAACCATACTTCTACATGTGACTCTCGGCAAGATATAGTCCCAGAGTTGCTCTGCTAGGATTACATTTAACTATTTAGCCCATACAACTATGCCGGCTTTGAGTAGCCCGCACAACTGTTCATGGAGTATAGTCTTAGGTATAAAACTTCCCCCACACAGGTGCTGAGGTGCAAGTGACAGCAAACAGTCAGAGCATCAGTCAAAGTGAGTATAGTGAGTCTTGACCGATGTTCCGCAAGGAGAATTGGCAGTTCATGGTAAAAATTGACCTTTGTAGGCAAATATCTTGCAAAAGGTCACGCATACAGGTATGGTCCCTTTGACTTTTTTGCTGGTACAGGCTAGGTCTATAACTCTGGGAATGGCAACTAAAACATGTTAAATGAATAAATATCCTGTCTAATGAATTAATTATTTTTTAAACTCAAAAAATTTATTATTATTATTATTACATAAGAGAATGCACCATTTAGTTTTGATTATATGCACTCTAAAGCCATTAAATTTGTATAAACAGTGAATATTTATGAATATTTAATTGTAAAATAAAAAATGAACCACATCCCATTTGGTAGTGTAGGCCATAACCCAAATAAATGTTTTCATGATTATTGGTTTTTGTAAATAATATTAATTATTTGTTAAATTCATTCAGAAATGATTTATTGATTTACCTTCTGCAAACNCGGAGACACTGTTGGATGAGTGATAAGAAGCTCGTACTCATGAAGTAAACACAAAAAAGATATTGATAAAGGACTTTTATTATAACAAATGACACAAGTTACACTTTCACCAATGGCCGAGTGGATAAAAACCACTGGTAGGTCTTGAGATCGCGCCTGGACGACGGGTTGGCCACATGGAGTTTTCCGGGTTTTCTTAACATTTATAACACCTAAATAGGAGTCTCCCTGGAGGCATCCTACTTGGCATCGCCCACGTGTCGTGTTGTCTTTATACGAACAAGCCAAACCAGAAGTTACGCCACCGAAACTATTAGTAGAAGTGTGTTAATCATGTTGTAATATGTAACCCTTATCTTCCTCGCAGGAATAGACTGTACGTAATTTTATCAATAATTAAAAAGTATGTGATAGAAACAATGTATAAGTTTTAATTATTTAATATTTTATAACAAAAATTTAAAAATTATATTACTATTTTTATTTGCAGCATAAGCTTCATTATGAAAAAAGTGGAATTACATTTATGTGTCTGTGTCCTTCTGCCGTCAACACAGATTTGTTTTGGCTGACTAATATTAACCTTCGTTTTATGCGTTTTAACTGTAGCCACTTACCAGAAAACTAAAGAAACGTTTGGAAATGTGAATATTTTGATAAATAATGCAGGAATTGGAGAAGGAAAAGTCGTAGACGTTAACCTGGTTTGTTTGAATATTTTGCTAATAATATATTAATTATATTTTTGCATTTTTATCATTGATAATTCGTAAAACATTTAGAATGGAGTTATAAATGGCTGCTTTATTGCGTATCAATATATGGGAAAACATAATGGAGGAAGTGGAGGTTNAAATATTTTAATACTGTTATTAGTACATAATATAATTTAGTAATAATAATATACTGAAAATCTGGAGGTTTTTCGACCTGTCCGGATTTGTTCCCGGATCCTTCAGAGAGATAGACCCGCTTGGCCATCCGGCCGTCATACTTTTTATTATAAGAAATTAAATGTTCTATTTCTTTCTGAACGAAGCCTTTGTTCGGGACTAAATGGACGTAAAAGCCCTTTGTTTATAGCACTGAATTTCTAGAAATAAGACACCTCGCTTCATTGTCTTTCAGCGAGCGATTAGGTCGTAAAAGCGGGGATATACAGTACTGTATTCTGAAATTAAATATGTTTTCCGAATATTTTGCATTTGTTCAGCTTCACAATTTCTTAAATTCAGAAGTATTTAAAATTTTATCAAATAAATTACAAGCTAATTTTATTCACAAAGTAAGTTATACTCGAAGAAAAGTAGCAGGATATTTTTTTTTAGCTTTTAAAAAATTCTTAAATAAATTTGCCTTAAACTTTCTGAGTCCATTTCAAAGCTTAGAATAAAGTAATAAAAATTATTTTATAGTAAAAAATTATATTTATAAAGAATATTTAATTATTTTAATATCAGTGATGTCAGCAAAAGATATGCAAATGCTCTTGACGAGTCCGAAGAGGGTGGAAGAGATCAATTACTTCAGAAATTCGTAAAAATGTTCTGCACCTTATACTATAGCGCTAACATTGCCGGAATTTTTGGTATTGTAAGTTATAGTTATCTTAAAGTAATTTTATATTAAAAAATTATAAATTAAAAATATCAATAATATACCTCGTACTTAGCTGGAGGCCATCGGAGGTTTGAGTTGGAATATTTGGATTTTGATTTTATTTAACAAAATTCACGTCGAAGATCGAGAATGGATGCAAAGAAATCATACATTCGAACATAATGAATTTATTAATCATTTCAGAAATATACCAGAAAGAAAAGGTAATTTTAGTACTTAAAATAAGACTTAAAACAGAGAAAAATGCAAATTAGATTACTTATGTTTTGTTTTTTAGGTGTATACAGTTTGATAATCTTCTCTACTATTTTACATAGTTTTTGGTTGATATCGTCCGTAATGCTACTAATTGGAAACATGGTAATTTTATTTACATGAATTGTAAAATTAATAAATTAATTCACTTATTAAAACAATTTAATTAAAGTAATTTTAGTATAGTATATAGAAATAACCTAATAAATTATGTTCAATTTGTAAAGTTATATTATTTTATTTAGATTTATTCTAAAGTAATGCTTTCACAATGGATACCTGTCACTCTTATGATGATTTTGACTGATATTCTAGCTTCGATTTATTTTACCTTACGTTTAGGAGTAAGTAAGAACTTTCATAACAAGTTGATAATTTAAAAGCATAACTATGTACTGTACATATATTTTTAGGCTTTCTTGGAAAATAACTCTGTAGATGACAATCCTGCACCGATACTACTTGCTGTTTTCTTTTCTAGATGCTGTCTTTTATTTGTATTTTTGAATGTAAGAATTTTATTTATCAGCAACGATTTTATATGTATTGTATAAATAATAATTTCTTTATTGCAGGCATTTCTCGTTCATTACGTTTGCCGGAGATGTTGGCAAATGGCAGCAAGAAAATATTGTCAAAAACAGATTAGAGGTATATATTTTAAGTCATATTTTTAGTGAAAATTTATCAGTCGTGTTGATTTTTTTTTTGATGTTTCAAGAATATTTTGAGGAATCTCCTATTAATGAACATCAACCTCAGACTCATCGTCAATACGTGGGAGAGGAACATCATATGCATGAACATAGCATAGTTGTACAACAACCAGTCTTCGTTAAAGAAGAGTAAGAATTGCTTTCTTATTCCTGTTATCTATCAAAAAACACTTATTTCTATTGAGATGAGATCGTCAGTACAGTAGAGCCTCGATTATCCGACCCAATTGGGGACTGGGGTTGGTCGGATAATTGAAAAGTCGGATAACCGAAAAGTATGAAAAAATCCATTATTAGTGTAGCATATTATTATATCCCATGTAATTAGTATATTAGTATATCACTATTAACCTACTTCGCGTTGAATTTTCATCGATGTTAAGCCTAACAAAATTTTTTTAAAATAATAATCGTCGCTATTGTATCGTTAAAAATTAAAAAATTAAGCCTCGTTTAAATACTGGCTCCCTTTCACAGTCGAATGAGTGTTGCCAGCTAAAACACGTAAAAATAATATTAAAGTAGCCAAGACATATCCAAATATTGTAGCGCCACATCATTAGCGGACATTTGAAATTTGCCGACTAGGACGGTCGGTTAATCGGGGGTCGGATAATCGAGGCTCTACTGTATTGTCGGTTCTATAATACACTATAATAACAATTATTTTCGTGCGATAAGGTTAAAACCTAAAACACAGACATTTTCCTGCATCTTGCGTGAAAATACATCTTAAAAGTAATATTTTCTGTTAGAAACCATTTGCATTCTTTTCGGTTGTAAACATCTCTAAGCAAAACTAAAAATTTTAAAAAAGTACTGTATGTACAGGACTAATGTTTCACGAGATAGGCTATTTTGTTTTGAAGTTTTTTTGTTTCTCCTATGCTTTGCAGTGCCATATCCAAAAATTTGGTTCTATTTTTTTAAAGATTCTTTTATCGAGTACTGTAGTTGAAATTTTCTCTACATAGCATATTCATTTAGCATACAGTTAACTTTGCATGATGAATCTTCATTATCAAATTCTTTTCATTTGGATATGTCGGTATATCCAACATATATACTCTGCAATAAACCTATTGTAGCGTATTAATTAATAATTAACTAAAACCTTATTTTTAGTTTTTTATGTGATGAAAGAACTAAAATTGTTAAACATTGTATTAGGTAGGATACTGATAAAAATTATTCCAATTTTTTTATTTAAAATTTTTACTGCTCATTCAAAACTTTAAAAAGTAACCTCTAAATTCGTTCACTAACCTTCAGATTCAATAAAATACTAAAATTTGATAGGTTATACATATACGTAGGGATATCGGTCAAACTCGCGAAAGGACATGAAACTCCGAGAACTATCACGTTGCCAGATAAAAATAATTTTTATATAAATTTTGGAAATTGCAATTTTAAAATTTAATCTCAAGATTTTTAGCTCGCGATCCAGTCAAAATGATTAATTTAAATTTCAGGTCATTCCTCAATTTCGTTCCAGGAAGCAAAAACATTGAAAATATACTTGAATAAATTTATTATTCGAGATATTTAAGTCTTATTTAAACTACATTTTCTGAAGTCTTTTCTCATAATAACGGCATAGAAACTGTTCGTATATCTTAAACAAGTTTATCATATCGCAAATACAGTATTAACTTGCATCATGCAGTTCTAGAGGGTTGATTGTTCACCGTGTGGGCACTGAGGACCTTTTTTTAAGTTATGTTTGTTGTGATTTTGGCCAAGCCCACAAATGGGGGCAGCCGGTGGTGAGGAACAGGGTTCGGCACATCCGGGACAGATAACCCTCGAAAAATTCCTGGAAATTTGTTTACTTACCACCAGAACAGTAGGCCAACCGCTTGTCTACAGTTCGTTGTATGCAAACAATTTTTTCTTACATTGAATGATGAACTGAATATTTTAGATAAAATAATTCAGGAATTTTTTAATGAGCACATTTAACTGTTTAACTTCTCCCAAATAAGACAAACGAATGAAAATATCAATTTACGAAAAAGAACTTCGTATCATCTCGTGACAAAAATTACCTAAAAATTTACAAGTAGTAATAATTTTATTTATTTTTCTAGAAAGCCGAAAGAGGAAGTGAATAATGGTGAAAATCCTTAAGTTTATGTATTTGAAAATTATAATATGAAATTTTGTAATTTTTCAAATAAATTGCTAAATTCAGTATAAAATATTTAACAGATTTTTGACTTTATTTTCTAAATATTTTCAATAGAAATACACTTCGAAACCAGTCATGTCATAGACGATAATTATACACATATACACTACAAATCTATATTTATGTTAATCTGTGGCCAATTACAACCGACGTTGATATTGCGAAATTATCTATTAATAAACTAGACTTGGCATCTGTAGTTAAATGAACTTTAGCTGCAGGGTCAAGGCGACATGGATATAAAACAAGGAGTAGCTTTAGTTACTGGAGGCGCTCAGGGAATAGGAAAAGCTACTTGTGAAGCATTACTCAAAAAAGGCTGTAAGGTAACTTTTTTCAAATGTGTTTCAAATAGTGTTGAATAATTTTCAATTTTTGATTATACTCTGTAACCTAAACGCCCAATAAGATTTTCTGACGTAAAGCTATTCAATTCTAAATTTGATTAGTTTTTTTTTAATTAACGAAAGAAATATTTTTACATTTTCACAGATTATAAAAACTCTACATGACTGTGCCATCATTTCCACACCATGTTGATTTTATGTGCGAAATAATAAGCGTATTCGTTAGTTTCTATATAATTTAGTAAAACGAGAAATATTTTTAAAAACTCGGCAAGTTTTTATAATTAAATATTTTATCACTAATTTTTCATGAAATTCTTACAAAAATCCACAAAGAAATCATTCATTTTTCTCCTATAGAATATAATTACACTTTGAACACTGAGTGCTATTATACACTAAAAACTTTAATTTTATTGATAACTTTTGTTTTATATAAATGTAGAGAGAAAATCTCTTATCAATACACTTCACGAAACTCCCTCTGCTCCAGATAAATGAAGCTTTATCATCGTGCATATACTCTTTTCGACGCAATACAGTATTGTTTTCATTCGTGAGCCAATAGAAAAATAATTGAAGCATATAGTTTAAAAAAGTCCATTTTTTTAAATTTTGAAATATAATGGCACCTGATGTGGTTGATTTTTGGAACAAACTTCCAATTTTCATCCATTTCCCCTTCTGAATAATTTAGAAACTTAAGTGTGTCAAAAGTCTACGAGAAGCAACGTGAATTGTTTCAATTGTCTGTAATGTGGACTTGGTTGTATTTCTTTATTGTGACTCGCATTCTCACAATTTTCATTTAATGTCTATAAACTAGAAGATAAACGGAATAAGAAATGTCTGAAACTTTCTTGGATAATAAATATTTTGCAAACAGACTGACACAAAATATAGTTACTCACTCCATTATGATGCAATGCGAATTCTTTGAATGAATTAGCAAGTTTTGAAACTCGGATAAATAACAATTACGTTTGTTTTTTAGACATGAGTCAACATTTATAAATGATAAAATTCTGAACATGACTTTTTTTGTTCTTTATGTATTATTTGTAATTTAACTTTCTCTATTTCGCCAGACAGAGATATATATGCAACTTTTGAATTCCATAATCGATATTTTGATAATTTTTGAAAGAAAGATGATGTAAATTACTAATGAATTGTACGAATCTAAGATTGCAAGTCACCTTGAAATTTTTAGTCTTTCTACTTCGAATATTTTCCTCCTAATTCTGCTATGCCAAACATTTCATTATTATAAATCATTTTTTCTTTTTTTTTTAATACATACTTGGAAAATTGTTCTCTCAGTTCAAAAATGTATTAAAAATATAGATTTTGTGCGCTTTGTTTACTCTGACGTTTTTTACTCAAAAATAGATTGGATAAACATGTCGGATATCGAAGTAATAAAATACCACTGAAGAATATGCATTATCATTTTGCTATACATGTAAATTAGAATGAACAAACATTACAAAGTGGTACATAAAATAATCTTTTCCTCTGGTTAAACAACAAATAATTTTGACTTAGAAGAATGATTAGATTAAACTAACCCGCGGATTACTTATCAAGCGCTCACGGTCTGTCACTGGCCCCACGGACCATACTTTTTTTTTATACTCTCTCCGCCTTGTGGGCACTAAGAAGGCCTCTTATAGCAGGCCCATTATGGGTTCGGCCAGGCCCACAATGGGGCGACCGGGTGGTGAGGGCCGGGGCCCGACATATCCGAACGGACCACATCCGAAAAATTCCTGGGGATTCCTTGACTCGTCCGGATTCTATCCTGGGTCTCCCAGAGCGACCCCAAAATAACCCTTATGCCGGGCATGAATAACCTGTGTCTCTCTGACTCGCTCCATATTCAACATACTTTCGAGAGGATCCTAAACATATTTACTTGATGGATGATTTATAGCGAGTCTAGTGAAAAACAAATAATCGAATGTCGTTTACAGCTTTATTATTTATAATAATCGCAGTGGCGTAGCGTGGGTGTCAGCCGCCCGGGGTGGAGAAAAATTTCGCCGCCCACTTATTTAGGTATCTCAATTTAAAAGACTAAAATTCAGTTTTGTCACAGAATACGTAATGAAAAATTCCGTGCTCATTTCAATCGGTCCGAATCGTAGGTGCGACAAAAATATAAAATGAAATGGTTCAAATTCTTACAAGATATTATTTATTGTGAAATTTTGCCGCCCCCTAAAAAGAACCGCCCGGGGCGGGCCGCCCTCACTATGCTACGCCACTGAGTAGGATTGATGGAATAAGGCAATGCGACACAATGACCTTCGGAATTGATAAGCACGGGGCAGCGCAACACAATCTTTCAGGGAGGCACTCCCCTTGACATGAGCGATCCATTAAAGGGAGTGCCTCCCAGGAGGACTTTCTAGGGGAACTTAGTCGATACTTAGGTGTTTGGCACGTGAAGAAAACCCAGGAAACTCCGCGTGGCCAGTCCGTTGGTCAGACCCGTGACCAACTATTAGTTTTCAGTGATTTTTGTCTACTCGGCCACTGGCAGGCATGAGAAACGAGAATCAAAAAATGTATATGGAAAACACAAACAAACAATAATAAAATTTTATATCATATTCTACATATTGAAATGTAATTTGATTTGCAGTCCGATAAATCGATAGACTTGTAATCTCAAAAGTGTAATCACGGGTCGAGACATGCTGGCCCATTGCGAACGGACCTATCAGTAATGGGCTTAATTGTGGCTAGTACTTACAGTACTGGTTCTTCCATTTACCGTATTTTTCGCCGTATAAGACGCACTTTTTCTCTCCAAAATCGGGAGGAAAAAAGTGCCTGCGTCTTATACGGCAAATACAAAAGCCCACCATGGCCCTCCGCTGCCCCTCCACTTCTGCATACATACATAACCGCAGGAATACTCGGCCACTCCGTTCCCTTCCACCTCTTGGCGCCGTCTGATACCAGGAAGCTCCGCTCTGCCTCGCACTGGCTTTGTGCGGTCTTTGCCTCGCGCTGCGATTGGCTGGGCGAAGAGGCACGTGCCTTCGCTCTCTC